CCAAGTTTGAAAAACATAATTCTCAAGTATATGACCTATCTCTGCTTGTCCTTAGAGTGCCTGTAGCAAGGAGTCTGATGTGAGCAACACAGATTTACTGCATCAGCCTGTCCTAAGGGTTTGTTTGTCAATATCTCACTGTGAGACCTTTCCCAGTTCTTTATGTATATTAAGGGCTAGGAGTACTAGGAGTATGGGAAACAGTTTTAGTTATGTAGAGACTGTCAAGCTGATCCAGAAAATGATCTCTGAATTAATAGGAAATAGTCTTCTTATCAGTATCTATGATTGGGTTTGGATTATGCTGTCACCTAAGAACCATGGATACTAAGCCATTATTTTTCTATTCCATTAATTATGCTGTTTTATTAATATTTTTCTTGTTTGATAACTATCTCCAGATGTAACCTATCTTGGGGCTCCTTTAGAGACCTTTGACCACAGTTCTGCTGGAGATCAAAAGAGGTCACTTTTTCTTTGATTTTTGAATATTTCTGCTTAATGATCATGAGAGAAGTAATTTTTTTTGTGACTTTAAAAAATAAGTCTGTCTAAATAAGCATGACCTTCCTATTAGGTTGGATTGCAATCTGTTCTTGGACTAGGTAGAAAGAACTATCAGAAGACCTCTGAATCTGTTTTCAGAACATTGATTCTGTTAGCTAGAACATTGTTTGAACACAAGGCAAAACCCTCTGACAATTCAGTATGAGAACATGAGATTTCATTTTTATGGTTTGTAGAAATTTGAGTTTCCCAAGCCAGTTGAACTTGGTTTTTTGCCCAGAACATTTAAAAACACTTTTTAACTTAAATTTAAAAATGTACAAATGCCTTAGATGCAATTAGTGAGCATATATGAAACATTATATATACAAAAAATATTTAGAGAAGTGGTATAGCAACCTATGGTTAGACTGTCACTTAATGTTTCTAGACAAATTTACTTTATTTAGCAGTTAAGTTTATGCAAATATCTCCAGTAGATAACTTTTTATCCCACATTCCTCTAATGAATACAACTGTACTTTAAACAATATTTTCAGAGTAAGGGCTAAGTGATATTTTTTATTTCATTTCAGTGTCAGAATGTTAATAATTCACCAAAACTCACATTGTTTTTGTCCAAACTGTGGGGAAAAGGTCAAAAAAAAAAAAAGAAAGAAAGAAAAGAAATAAGGAAGGTAAACAACTTAGGGATCACATGGGCCTTTTAATTTGATTTCAGGTGATTAGTGCAGTTTTAAAAATCAATGTTAGATGGAGTCTGCTTTCAGGTGTTCTATATGCATCCTACTACTGATGTCAGATTGATCTTATTTTAGAAAAGTGCAAAAAGAAAAAAATCTAGAAATTTAGTCAAACATCTAAGAGACTCACTGAAAGAACTTTTTTAGTTTTCACATTCATTTTTATTGTAATGAAATATTATTCAAAGTGGTAAACTACTTCATTTGTATTAATTGCAATAAAGATTTTCATCAAGATATGAACAGGGCAAATTCCTGTAATGAAAGCTAGTGAGAATAGAGTAGAGAAAGAATGTACTCGGGGACATAGGTTGGCTCTGTAATGAAGGTCTTGAAAAGTTTAGATTATACACATGCACACATACCCCCATATATACAAATCTGTGGGTGTGTATGTATGTGCATGTGAGCATGTATGTCGGCAGCCATGACAAAAAATATGAGTACCTCTTCCCACAATCCATGCCACCAGGATAAAGGTCATAACATATTCACCTCTTTGAGCCATCTCCCTAAAGTCCTAAACATTCCTGATGAAGCTCAGCACAACACTTGAAAAACCTGAACTGAAGTAGGAAAAACATCTGATGATATCCAGCCAGCTTTTGTTCATGTCTTTTTCTTACTTGTCTTACAAACACAATACTCTCTCTATTCTATCACTATTTGTAGTAATTTTAGATTTATATGGTATCTTTTCTTCTAACAAATAAAAGAAGGAAGCTGCTTGAAGGTCTAGAAGACTTTTCTGTCCCAAAATGTCAGATCAATCTTACTAAAGCAAAAAAAAAACTTTAAGTTACTTGCAGAAACTTTTAGCAATTTCTGTGGGAAAAATTCCAGACTACTACTCTAACGTGACACAGACATTCATGGTTGCAGCCCCCATTCCCAGCTGTACTCCTCATGATCACTCAGCATATATTCTTCACGCAGCTGTTCTTGCTCAATCCACTCTGCGGCCTTGTGCTCTTCCGTCACTTAGACTCTTGTTTCTCTTCCCTTCTCTTCATCCAAATCTTTTCCACTCCCCAACTAAAGTTCTGTCTCCTCTCTGAAATCTTGCCAGTTCACATTCTAGTCTCACACTATGAAAAGTAGGCTTATTTGTTGAATATGACTGATTAAAGATGAGGTATGGTGACGTTTAAGCAAGATGAGAGTTCAGGTCTTCAGAGTGAATTCTGTCCTTTATATGACTTGTACCTTTCAGTTTGTTTCACTTTTTTAAGACTTGGTTTTCCTCATCGTTTCTTTCTTACTCCTTTTTTAAACTGTAAAAAGATATATTCTAAGCAGAGATGCATTTACCCACACTTTGGAGGAGGAAAACAAATAAACTGATAGCAATTGGAAAGTTAAAGCATCCAGTATGGAGCTGCATGCCTAGTTTTTTCATTGTGTAAATAAAACAAAACAAAAATCCCAAATGCCACAATCAATCAAATCAAAATAGAACTCGTTTATTATTAGGACAGCTCCCCCAAAATAATGACATGATGTTAAATAAAATAACTGGAAAACATATATGGTTTAAGTAACAGGTGGTAAGAAACAAAGTTAGGAGCTAAGAAATTCAGAAACAATAAAGGATATTTAAACTTATGAAAAAGAGAAAAACAGTGCTTGTGTAAATCTGAAGAGAGATAAGTCAAAGTCTTTACCTCTTGCCTTGAACAGGTCTTTTATAAAAGTTGAGATAAAGTCACAAACATCCAGCCAAATCTACACATCTGTTTAAGACAAATGTCAGGAACACATTTCAAAGAGCATATTCAGTAACACTGGTTCACCAAGGACCCCATATTTGCAAAACAACAACAAATATTTCTAATCATCCTGCTACATGTCATGAGATTTCTCTAAAAAAGGAAGAAAAATGGTGATACTAAGAAACTGAAGAAAAACAGAACAAGTTAAACAAAATCCTCTTTACCCACATAAGACACATCTAAATGATCTAAGATTTTTGCATTTAGTTTCCTGACTCCCTATTGTCCTCCCCTCCTGATAAGTAGAAAAAACAAACATGAAAATCCAGGTGAAATGTTAACACCATGCTCACTTTAAAAATAGTCTTGCTCTCGCAAAATCAAAATGAAAAAAGGGGAACAAAGGTCTCCTAGGACTCCCTTTACACTCAGTAGTTACTGTACCTTAGGGCTGTGTTTTCAACTTTCTTTTGCCACCCTCCTTCCCAACTTAGTTTCTAGAGTCAATGGGCAACCTTTTAAAAATCACGAGACTGCTTTGCTATGTTTGGTCTTCATCCAACTTCTTTATTATCTCTGCTGTTGTGCACTACACAGTTTTGTAGACTCACCAGATAACATGGAGAAACAAAGCCAGTCTATTATTCCCAGACTGTTTGCCAACTGATTTAGTTGCTCTCTCCGCTGGTATACAAAATAATGAATGGTCTGTTATCTGTAAGTCTTTAAAACAGAAATCCCAGGCTGGTGAGTGGGGGTAATTTTTAGTTCTTTCTAATGCCTTGTTCTTTCTTTGCCTCAGTTTCCAAATCTGTCTACTAGTGTCACTCAGAATGCTGGTTTCTCCCCTTCTCCATCCAGAGAAAAATAATTTATTTTTCACCATTCCAGCATAACAAAAAAGAGATGCAGGAAAGAGATGTGTATAATCATTTATAAGTCTCCAGATCTTGTTTCCAGAATTCTTTCCATTAGGAGACCTCAGGAAATCTATGAAACTTCCAGCTCCTAAAGTCCTCACCGAGTTGATCTCCAGACAAGTGAGGCCCAGAGAACTTAAGTTGCTGCAAGTCTTATGGCAAGTTAGGGGCAGAGCTCACCAGAACTAAAAACCAACACTTCCTGTTTTGAACTTAAGACGGTTTGCTTTCACGGGAATTTCAAACGGCTTAGGAACATTCAAGGCCTGAAAGGGCTTTTTTTCAGCTCAGGATGACACCTGGAAATACATGATCTTGGGTTGTTTTCAGGGATTTGTGATCTGATTCTGCGGAAAAACCTTAGAGACTAACACCCTCTTTGAAAAGTCAAATCCCCAATAACCTCAGACTCAACACATTTTCTTCAGGGTTGAGCGGGGCAGAGAATACATCCGTTAGAAACCTAGAGCACACGTCCATCTCTAGTGGACCAAGTCAAGCTGGTGGGAAGTACAAGACCAATCATTTGTCCAAAGGGGCATCTGTGTTTAGTCATAAGCTCAGTAAGAATGCCAGTGTTTTTGTCTTCCTTTGATTTAGTTAAGTGAAATTTCTTCAAAATGTTGCTTTAACTTTTTTTTTTTTATTGCAGAAAACTGAAAATCGCTAAGTACTTTGCCCAGAATCACAAATTAGCCCAGCTGCATGTGGACTTTTGTCCAAGTCGGCACAAGAGTGGAACATTTTGTTTTAGGAGTGTGATACGTATGAAATATAAATCTGCCAAGAGCCTTCCTCAGAATTGCTCTGGGACTGGGCTGGGCAGGCACCGACCTAGCGAGGGAGGGGGAGAAAACAAGGCGAGTCTGAGGAAACGCCCTTGGGTGAGGTCTGGGGAAGATGAAGAAGTCAGATTATGAGGATGGTGCGCTTGAAACATTTCGGTGCCCTAGTGAAGCAGTTCCGTAATCAAGTGAGGAAAAGGCGGTGCGGCCGTCCCTAAATCCCACATCTCTCACAATCGCAGCGGGGCGACAGGCGGGAAAAGACCGCGCGGTGCTGCCAGAGGTTAGCGCGCGTTGGCGTCGAAGCCAGGAAAAGTTCACTACGCTACTAACTTGCAACAGTCAGTCGGAGGCAAACTGGCTGGAAGCGAATTCAGAACCAGAAAATCCAGGCGGCTTGCGGGGGCGTACGGCTCTCCTCCAGCCTCGCCCCTCCCAGGCGGGCGGGACCCCGGCGTGGGACCCGGGGGAGGAGCGGGGTTTGGCTCAGAGCCAGGCTCGCGGCGCCCCTCTCGCCCCGCCCAGAGGCCAAAGCCCCGCCCCGCCCCGCCCCTCCCGGGCTGCGCGAGCGGTCTCCGCCCTCGTCCCGGAGCTGGGAGGCTGCAGGAGAGGTGCTGCAGTAGCCGCCTCTGCCGCCGCCGAACGGTCGGACCCCGCAGAGCCGCCTCTGAGCCGCGCCAAGAGCTCGGCCAAGGAGGCTGCAGTTGCAGCCCGGAGTCCACCGCCTGCGCCCCGAACCCTGCGCTGCCCTCCGAGGGCGCCCCAGGCTGCGCCATGGTGAAGGTGACGTTCAATTCGGCCTTGGCCCAGAAGGAGACCAAGAAGGATGAGCCCCAGAGCGGCGAGGAGGCACTTATCATCCCCCCCGACGCCGTGGCGGTGGACTGCAAGGTCCGAGGGCCGAGGGGGACGGGGGAGGGGTGCTTGGCCCTGCGCAAGAGCTGCGCGGGCCCGCGGGGCGCGGGAGAGGGTCCCCCAGAGATCCGAGTTCTCCTTTTTCTAGGGCTGCTCCCGTTTTTTGTCCGGTGGCTGCCGCTGCTGCTGCTTTGTAAAAAGTGCGTGTGCAGGAAGCGGTGCCTTAAGCTTCCTGGGGGACCCGGGAGGCCGGGAGAGAGGAGGATGAAGATATGTGCCTCTTTCACAGTCGTTGGTGCTTTCGGGGGAATTTGCGTGGGGTGGGGACTCGGTTCACTCGACCTGCAGACCAGCGGCGACAAGCAAAACAACAAGAGTTTGGCACTTCCTTTCCAGTATAAATAATATCCCTAAAATGGCTGACATCATTACAAGCCTAAACCTCTTTCTACTTTCGATTCCAGGCACTTGGACTAAGACCAGCTATCGTGAACCTCATAATTTAAAAACAGTTTTCTTTTTTACCACCACATTTTGGTATTGGCAGGTGAAATTCACAGTGGGGTCTGGAGAAGGGGCAGGGAAGCGTGGGAGGAGAGAAAGCAAGGTGACAGTCTGCTCTTAGTAGGTTCGGACTGTTGATTTTATATGTAAAACAAGTATTTTCGATAATTACTATGTGGATATTAGCCAATCGACAGTTGGCTTTCAGAATTTTATCTAGATTCCTTACACGAAGTGAAACCAAAGCGTAGGACATTTTTTCCATTTCCCGTAAGCCCTTAGTAAAAATAAAGAGTGGGATCATAAAATGGTGCAAACGGTAATGTCTATTTAAAATATGATTGTAATTATTACGATCTTTTGGCTCCAAAAATCAATTTTGTAAGCGTTCTCTGTATGAGTTATTTATGTTGCTTAACTTATTACCAGTTTTCAAAACCTTTGATCGATAGGGTAAACTTAGCTTTAATTTAAAGAATCCCGTAATTTGTTTGCAGGATTGAATAATAAGCATTTTTTAACATGGTTTAATGAAAATTATTACTGAAAAATAGGCCACTAATATATTGTAAGAGATATTGAGAATGTTAATTTGGACGTGTTTGTGTTTATTTCCTAGAAAAGTTCTGATTAAAAACACAAATGTTAGTTGGTTTTTCAGTGTCTGTTTTGCCTTGAAATAGAAATAGTGAGCTCATTCCCTAAAAGGTTTAGGAGTCTTAGTGTTGGTATTATTTTCCTGAAGCCATTGCAAACAGTCTTGGTCTTAAACGAAAATGTTTGGAATGCACACATGATGATTCCAGTAGCAAATTATTATCTCAGTTCTATGCTTATCTAACATTCATGTACCTAAAAGGGATGATAATCTAATATCCAGTCACAACAGTCTCAAATACATAGATAAGTAGGTATAGGTAGATTTCAATCCCATTATATATCTAAAATCCTCCAAACAAATATAACTCCTCCCATTTAAAAAAAAAAAAAGGGAGAGCATTGGATGATGTCACTTGAAACTGCTTTGCTTTGTATTGCTGTAATGAAGGAGATTTGAAAATCTGGCCAAAAATCAGAATTAATTCACTGGGCTGCTTTAAATTCAGTTTTTGACATTTTTCTGTCATATCTGAAATTGTGTCCCTGTTTTCAGATTCTCAAAATTTCTACCATTTCCACCATATTAAAATTTTGTGGTCAGAGTAGCTATAAAAATGTATTCATAGCTCTGTGCTTGGTTTTCCATTTTTATTTTTCAGACACATCTATGTCCAAAGAAAAATACAGGAACTTAAGCAGTAAGGGCCAGAGTCTTCCTTTGTAACCACCCAGCAGTTATGGATGAATTGGCAGAAACAAATGACTAGTTCTTTTTCTAGCTATAAGCTGAAAGACTTTTCTTCAGAGTGACAAAATATTGCTCTACATTAAAAGTAGAATCCTTATAATCAGCCTGTCACTTAACAGTAAACAAAAATCTTAATGGCACACATTTGGGAAAGAACTTCTTCTGATCATTCCATTTTAAAGCTTGGGCAGTGATTACATAATATTCTCCTGCTCCTCTGAGAGGGACTGTTCAGTAACTGCCTGGATTCTGCACTGAATCTGCCTGGGGGTGTTTTCCTAGGGCATATCTTTGCTAGTTGGTTGAGAAGCTCAAGCAAGAATAATTATGGATCAGAACTCTTCAACAAAATTTTTACCTCTTTTAATTCTTCTAGACCAAATACCCATAGATTTTTGCTTCTGAAAATGTACTCTTAAACCGTCATCTGCTGTGGTATCATACGAGATTCTGTTGCCTTATGCCACAAGAATTCTGATCACTCCAGCCCACTGTCTTATGTAACATGCATCCCAGTACTTCTACACTGCTCCTATCTTTTGCTATTTATGTGGTTCTTTTCTTGCTAGAGGGTACAAATCTCTGAAAGCACTTCCATTATCTCTTTTTTCTGAATCTTTTCAGTCACTGTTAATTCAGTCATGTATTCTGGTTACATAATCTCAACTATCTTGCTATTTATTATTCTACATTTTCTCCTTAACTATTTTCACCTTCCTCCACCTATCCCTGTGGGCACAAAGCACAGAGGTATAGAAGCAGTAGAGTATAACCTACCTTTTGTGTAACAGGTGAATTTGCAATTATGTGGTTTTTTTTTTATGTTATAGGTAACCATTTATGCCTGTGCCCATAATTTCAATCTTTGGAAAATTGTTTGTTCTATGTGTGCATATATCTAAGTAAATACTTAATGTGCTGAGTCAGAAGTCCCAGTTCTGTGACTGCTTGATCTAGGGTTTAAGTGTATAGTTTTCCTTATCTGCAAGATGTGAAAGTAGCACCAGATGGCCTGTAAGGACTCTTCCTGTTTTTAAGTTCTCTGAGGATGCTAGGATTACATAATTATATTTGGCAGGAATTAAATAGTTTTAATTGTGAAAAATAACAACTTCCTCACCTAACCAGACTGATCCTTTATCCTCTCCATATTTAGCATTTTACATGCCTTCCTCATATTAATAGCAATGAGACAGAGGGAAAGATGAATTAGAGGAATTGTCTACTAACCAAGTTTTGATTTTGGGTTGGCTCATTGGAGAAAACTATTTGTCAACAACTCTTTTTGTTGTAATGCCTAGCTTTGAAACACCTTTCCTAGTATCAGACCTTGGAAAGCATCAGTTTGCTTCCTAGGTTGCCCTGGAAACCATTTTGCTGGTAGTGTTGCCTCCTTTCACCTGCATTGTCATTGTAAACCTATTTGAATACAAGAGAAGGTGTGTGTCGGGGAGATAATGAAACAAGATGGAAGAGTGAGAAAAAGTGAAGGGCTGCTAATTTAGTAAGTTCTGTGTTATTCGCAACAAAACGCTGTTTGATCCTAGTACTTGAAGACACTTTGACTTTTCCTAGCTTCATAAGCAGCACTGAAGGGTTTGGTAATATGTTTTTTTGGTGGTGATGGTGGGAAGAAGAGGAGGACGATAAAATACATGATACTTACTGAAAAGTATTGGTCTTTAGAGGAAGAATTGGGACCTTGGTTTTCTTTAACCAAAGTGCACCTCATTATTTAGTTGTAGAATTTAGTGTTTGTAAATATCAGACAGCAAAAATTTTGATTACATTGCATTTTGATTCTGCATGAGGGTATTGATATCTGAAATGTTGTTGAATACTAGGAGATAAATTAATTGCCCCTGGGCCCTCCCTGGTGGTGCAACAGGGTAAAGCGCAGCACCATGAAGCTTGCTGCAGCCGCTTCACCTCGAGTTTGATCCCCAGCCAGGGAGGTGACCCATATGACGCGGCAGACATCTCCTGACCCACCCACTGCTCCCCCAGCAGTGTACTGCGTGGATCTGCCTGTTCTGCTCCCTGCTCTGCTTCTGCTGAATCCTCTCACCATGCCTGTACCCCAGTTCTGTATGTGTAAATACATCTTTAAAAAAAATTAATTGCCCCTGTGCATCCCAGTTGACTTGACAGGACCTCTAAACTGTATATACATACACCCCTATGAGCAGCAGCAGCAGAATGGACATGTGCATATTGTGCTATTGAAGCCCGTGTGACCTGTCTCTTCCTGGAATCATCTTAAACACATTTTCTCAGACTAGACAGAAGCAAATATATATTATGCTTGGCAAAGTCGTAACTCTATGAAATGTTAAGGAATTTGTTTCTGCCACATAAAAATTTAAGTGAATAGGAGAATTTTTTTTTAAATAGAAATATCTCTCAAAATATGTGATACAGCCTGTTTAAGTTGACTTAGAATTTAACTCATGAGGTTTTCGTTACAAGTTGCTGAAACTTGACTTGCTTTAAATATTCATCAAAAATATAGTAAATAGTGATCATGAGACCCTTTATTTCTCTTATTCCATCATAACGTAAATCTATTTAGAAATACTCGTCGAATTCCTGTGTGTATCATACTGTCAGTAGAGAAAGTCCAGGGGGAAAAAAAATGGTGTTATTTCAAATAACATCAATGAATTCATCCTCTTAACTTTTTCTTGACCTTAGCTGTTATTATTACTAGAGTTAAACTGGAGGAATTAAGGATTTTGCCATACTCCTTACTAC